GATCACGTGGATCAGTCCTGGCAGGCTCTCACTTTTGCGCTCGAGACCCCGGACTCCGATCGGAAGCGGCCCCATGGCGCCCCGGTCAAAGCCACGAAACATCGTCAACGATCAGCTGGAGAAGGCCGTCGCCGCGGGTTACCAGATGAAGAAGTCTGTGGTGGCTCCGCTGATCGGCACTGAAATGCACCCGGGTGAGGCGATCGCCTTCGCCTTAGAAGCTACACACCCGTTCACACAGGACGCGGATATCGACCCAGATCTCCTTGATGTTCTTGAGAACATTGTTCGTGATCCTGCTCAAGTTCGCGATCGTCGAGCCTCTCTTCTGCAGCATTGGGAACGGCGAGCTCAGGATTTGCTCCCGTCCTCTGATTCCTTGCTCAAGCAGATACCAGATCAGCATTTGCGCCGTCTTCTTCGCGGCGGCCCCGACGATCGTCCGCTGGAAATGGGTCAGTTCTTCCACGTCGCCCTTTGGCGGGAGCTCATGAATGAGGCCAAATGCAGTGACACTGATCTGGTGGATCAGATCATGGCAGGCATGCCGATCGTCGGCGATATCGCCTCGTCCCACCGATGGAAGCCCGATCGCAAACCTCATGCGGAGCATCTCTCGGTTGATGCCCTTCGCTCGAGGGCCTGGGAAGAGGGCCTGGGAATTTCGATCGAAGGTGTTAGGAGCGATTCGGAGATCTCCGATCACCGAGCACTCTCCCAAGGTCTGGGAAGGGACCATGGAAGATGTTCGAGAAGGGTCGGCGATCGGTCCCTTCTTCGACGAGGCCGAAGTCTCGGAGTTCGTCGGCGATGATCACTGGATCCCCACTCAGCGCTTTGAAGTGGTCCAAAAGAACAAAGTCAGGGGAGTTGACAGTGCTACCTCAAATGGGATCAACATGGCGACGATCGTCACCGAGAAACTCGAACTCCCCTCGACGGACGCGAACGTGGCGGTGATCAAGTGGCTGCGCTCGCGGCTGCCGAAGTCCCCGCTACGTGGTTGGGTCCTGGACGAGCGGCGAGCCTATCGGCAGGTGCCGATCTCTCCGGCCCATCGCAAGTGGAGTGTGGTCGCTCTGAAGGATCCGGCCACAGGAAAGGTGGCGTTCTTCGTGATGGTCGGTCACTCCTTCGGCTTGGTCTCGGCCGTATATAACTACAACCGTCGCTCGGCTGCGATTACCGACATTCTAAGGCGCGTGTTCATCGTGGCCGGCTTCAACTTCTATGACGACAAGTACGGCTTCGAGCCGGAGGCCACGGCAGATAGTGCGTTCGCGCTGGCCGAGAAGGTCCATTGGTGGCTCGGGGCCCGGTTCGATCAGCAGAAGCTTCAGCTCTGCTCTGATCCCACGATCCTGGGCGTGACCTATGACCTCGATCAGTACTTGCTCAAGATCAAGAAGTCCAGGAAGCAGGAGCTCTTCGACGAGATCTCGGCGATCCTGGAACACGAAGAGCTGTCTCCCGGCCAAGCCGGGAAGCTCAGAGGAAAGTTGATGTTCGGCGCTTCGCAGCTCTGGGGTAAGATTGGCCGCGCCTTCCTGAGATCTCTGTCGGAGAGGCAGTACTCCCGGAAGACGGTCAGTACGAGCCTATCGCCTGCTCTCCTCTACTCGCTCTACAAGTGGCGGACGCTCGTGATGCACGGGCCTCCGAGGCCTATCCCCAGTTCGGGGCCGCGGAAGTCCGACGTGGTGATCTTCACGGATGGATCGGCGCCGAGCTCGAACCCCAAGGATCCCTCTTCTGAGATGATTGGAGGAGTGATGTTCACTAGGGACGATCAGCTTAGGCAATTCGCCTCGGGGGTGTCACGGCTGATCATGTCGAGGTGGTTCCCCCGGAAAACCCAAATTTGCATGATCGAACTTTTAGCCGCGGTCGCTGCGATACAGACTTTCAGGGAAGAGATCCGTGGAAAGCTGGTCCTCCTCTTTATCGATTCCGAGCCCGTAGAGGCAGCTTTGATCAAAGGCTACTCTGCAAAAGAGGACGTCTGCGAGCTCGTAGGAATTTTCTGGGAGCTTGTTCTGGAGCTTAGGGGCTCAGTTTATATCGATCGGGTACCGACCGATTCGAACCCGGCGGATAATCCCTCTCGTGGTGATGTCGCTACAGGTCTGATGTGTGGTTGGATCACTGTCCTCTCGGACTTTCCCAAAGGAGTTTGAGGGCCTGGGAATATCGCTTGTCTGATGTGTCCGATCGGATGATGTTGCGGTCTGTGGTGAATGCCATGGCGCACCCCTCGGTGATCGGGGGTCCGATCGGACTTGTGAAGATCAAATGAAATTTTGATGATCCGACTGTGGCCGACTCCCACGTTGCGGTCGCATGAAAAAGGTGCGATCGCCGATCGTCTGTTCAGTGAGGGCACCGAACGTCTGCGATCGTAGTAACTGGTCTCCTAATTATCGGTCTGGTGGGTAGGAATTAGGAGATCAGTTTCGCGATCGTTGGAACAGACTTGATCTATCTTTTCCGTGGCCATTTTGGCGATAGCCGATCGGGCCATACCGAAAAATCCCACCCTCTCCGCCCTATCTGTTCTTTTCGGTATGCGGGATCCTCGCAACGACGTTGGCCTTCAAGCGCTCGCTTTTGGCGACACAGATCAGCTCTGCCGTCCCTGCGTGGATTGCGGCCTGTTCACCGGCTGCTTCTGCGACGGGGACGGCCAAGACGAATGTTACGCAGCCGTTCGGGTCCCCCGCGAAGAGTGGGCCCCCAACCAGCGCACTCCTTTGTGCACGGCTTGCGATCGTCGCCTGGATATGTGTCATTTCTGCCGAAAGACCCCCTGGGTCACGCCGCCGGCTCATCGTGATCGCGATCGTCACCAGCCGGCCGGCTACGATCACGGGGCAGATCCTCCCCTCAACTGGGATCAAGTGATCGGCGTGCCCTCTGTTCAGCGGCCGGTGCCCAAAGCGCCCCCGGCCAAAGCTGCTCGAAACAGAGGCATGGATCAGCCGGTCTACTATGTGGATCCCAAGGCTGGTCTGCCGCGCCAAGGCCGAGCGGCTCCGAAAGGGCGTTCTCCTTTGTTCGCCGAGCCTGCTCAGTACATAGTTCCAGGGCAGCCCCCCAGATCGCTCGACGAGGTGCCCGATGACGTCCGCATCAGCGGACCGGCTCACTATGTCATTCCGGGGCAGCCCCCGCGGCGGCTGGATCAGCTCCCGCCCGGTACGCAGCTCCCTCCCGGCACCGAGATCATGGTGCCTACGAGGAGCTCGAGTCCGCCGACCAAAGCGCCGCCGACTCCCGCCCAGATCGCGGCGTACCAAGCTTCTCGCGCTGCTCCCGCTCGGACGAAAGCCAAAGCTACTCCTGATGCAGCTTTTCGTGCTGCCGAGCGGCAGTTGATCGACTTGCTCGGCGCGGCCCCCCTCGCCGACGATCCGATCGAGGAGCCGTCGCCGGAGCCCGTGATCCGATCGAAGACTTTTAATTTTGTTCGCGGGGAATATCGCTTGTCTGATGTGTCCGATCGGATGATGTTGCGGTCTGTGGTGAATGCCATGGCGCACCCCTCGGTGATCGGGGGTCCGATCGGACTTGTGAAGATCAAGTGAAATTTTGATGATCCGACTGTGGCCGACTCCCACGTTGCGGTCGCATGAAAAAGGTGCGATCGCCGATCGTCTGTTCAGTGAGGGCACCGAACGTCTGCGATCGTAGTAACTGGTATATATATATATTTATGTATACATATATATATATATATATACATATATGTATATCTGTATCTCCGTATATCTGTATACACGTATGTATGCACGTATACAAATATATATGCATGTATGTATGTGTATATATGTACAGGAGAGGGGTATGCATGGAAGTTTTAGAACCTCCAGAACCGCAGCAATCACAAGCCGTATGGTATGGAGGTGTGTGTTTCCGGTGCTGCAACGGCTGGTTATTGGGCACTGTTCAATCGGCGAGTTTGAGCGCACAAGTTCTGCAGCAAGTTGGAAAGTTGATTCAGTTGCTGGCAAAACAAGCGTAAAAGTAGACTCTACACGGAAGGACGGATATTAAGCGTCCATAAATTCAGCCGATGCAAAACGAAGCGCTCAACAATGACATGCCCCAGTTACATCAAGGTATGTCCTCTTTGTTTGGTGTGCAACGCTGTCGATGCTAGATTCCGTTGAAAATGTTCGTAGCCTCGCGAAGTACGGAAGCCGTAAATTCAAAACAGCAAAGTTACAATTGACTGCGGCGCTGGCCGCGGCCTGTAGACACAGCACAGGATGCATACTACAAGACCAGTGCGAAGCATGATTGATGTCCGCAGTCTACCCATTTGAGCAAGACTTCTAGTTGAAGTTTTGGAAGAACTCCGGGTGAGGTAGAACTCGGCGGCTGATGTTCCGTCCATGTGCTGAGGATTCGTTCTGAGCTCTGCAGCAAGAAGCACCGTTTCAGGCTTGCAATGATCCCTCCTTCTCAAGAGCTGTGACTGTTCATCGTGTCATTGACATCATGATTGCCATGGTTGTGTGTTGATCAATCCATCGTTGCTACACATTCGGCTTACAATGCCGAGGACGAAGTCCTTCGCAGGCTCGTACCTCTGCTATGCGCGTGTCAACTTGATTTGAATCCACCGTGACCGGGTTGTATCCCGACAAAGGTAGTCGAAACGTTTCCTGTGCGCTGAAGATTTGCGTTGCATTGTGTTGCACATAGAAGCTTCGTGTTGCCGAAAAGGATGCAGCCACAGACGTCCGATGGACACAGCAGCATCGCAGTGGAGGTATGTTTGCCAACAAGGGTTTGGGTATGTTGAATATCAGTACAGGCCCATGAAAGACATGACAGCCAGTGTTCCACGCATACATGCGCGCTTTTGATGCTGTATGAGTCTATGAGGCTTTGTGCAACATTGCAATCATCATATGTGCAGTTTTTGTTTTTGATTATGTGTCTTCATGATAAAGCCGATGAGTAAGGCTGCCGGGCATGTTGCAAATGCAGTTGAGGTATCACCACCTACAATGCTGGGATCGGTGCCTGCCAGAGAGCTGCATGCTGGCGCATTGGACAACAGCTGTCACTGGGCCTGGATTTGTGGAAATTTTGTGTGCGTTTTCCGGGCAAGTCCTTGGCGAGGCTTCAGAACCTGCCGGGGCTCCAAGCTGACCACATCACGATGGCACTGGCCAGCCAGGTTTTCAACGATGCAGGAGATTGCGATAGGGTTATCAAGCTCCTGACGTCTATGGGTTTCGACTGCCAGGAAGAGCTTCACGCAAGTTTTTTTTTGGGCAGCACCGTTGCTTGACCTGCTTTAACTGCCGGTCCCTGTAAAATATGCCTGACTGACAAGCTGTCAATGTTGTTCTTCACTGCGCAAGCGCAAGGAGGTAAATAGAGTTGGCCAAGTCGAATCAGTGTACCCAGCCAGTGTAAAGCAGCTGCGGTGTGTTTGCGGCAGGGTCTGTTGCGGTGATGAAAGCAGACTGAAAACCTGAACAGTTCAGAGAGGAGGGCTGATTTGCTTGCAGCTCAAGCAGCCATGCACCCTCCCATCGATCACAGTTAGATTCAAGCCGGGACTGGTGCTTCAGCGGGCCGCAGCACCGGTCACGGACCGCGGATCCACACGATCTGGATGCAAACCGTACCGGCGCCATGCAGCACGCTGTTACAGAGAGGCTGCGAAGCACACCTGCAGACCAAAAGGCTTACAGCACAGCCATCACCAAGTTTGCCAAGCGCAGTGACTGGAGGGGTGCCATGTCTGTGTTGGCAGAACTGGCAAGTGCAAAGTCCGTTCCAAATGTATTTACCTGCACCGCAGCTATTAATGCTTGTGGCAGATCTGGACACTGGCAACACGCGCTGGAGCTTTTCCTGGAGTTTAAGGACAGTTATGGACAAGCCAACGTTATCACATACGGATCTGTGATGAATGCTTGTGCCAACGGGGGGGAATGGCATCGTTCCCTTTTGTTGCTGCGGGACCTTCAACACAAAGGGCTTGAGATTAATGTGATCCTTTTCAGCTCAGCGATATCTGCATGTGAGAGGGCAGGAGAATGGCGGCATGCGCTCAGTCTCTTGAGCGAGCTGCGGGACACTGCCACCGAATCCAATGTCATCTTGTACAATGCAACGTTGAGTTCCTTCAAGCACACTGGTGAATGGGAGTACGCACTGCATCTCCTGGCAGGCCTAGACCTTAGCGCGACTCGCGCTGACGTTGTAACATATGGGTCGGCAGTTGCGACTTGTGAGCTTCGGGGAAATTGGCGTGAAGCTCAAGCGGTACTGGAATCGTCCGACCATATTCCTCCCGACAAAATGACATGCAACGCAATCTTGCGAGCGTGTGTCCACGGTGAGGATTGGGGAAGAGCCTTGCAGTGTGTTCGAGACTTGGAGCACAACATGACAGCCCAGACCGTGGATTACAGCATGGCTATCAGTGTCTGTGAGAAGTGCGAGCAATGGGAGCAGGCGCTGCTTGTGTTGCAGGAGATCTTGGGTTTAGGGAGCAGAGACGAAGCCGCTGTCGCCTCGATAAGTGCCTGTATCAGTGCATGTGCTCGAAGTGGCCAGTGGGAATGGGCAATCCGCTTATTGGAAGAGGCCAAGTCCGTTCAGATACAGGCAGACATCATAACTTGGAATTCTGCGATCAGTGCCTGTGAGAAGGGAGGGGAGATGTGGCAAGCGCATCGGTTGCTACATGAGGCGACGGAGAAAGACCTGCAAGTCAATGCAATCACTTACAATGCTGCAATTACTTCTTGTTGGGACAGATGGCAGGAGGCTGAAGTCCTCATGAGCGAGATGCAAGACTTGAGTATACTTCCCAACACGATAACTCATAATGCCGTGCTCGCTGCCCATGAGAAGGGTGGACAATGGCAGCGGGCTCAGCTGTGGTTGCAAACTATGAAGGTAGCCAGGCTGCAAACCGACATCATTTCGTACAACTCAGTGATCAGCTCCTGTGTAGGCCCTGGGCTGTGGCAAGAGGCCTTACGACTATTGCGAGAGCTCGAACAGCGGGAGCTGCAGGCCAGCATCGTCACATACAGCGCTGCGATTGCTGTATGTGAGAAAAGTGGGAATTGGCAAATGGCCGTGGCACTCCTTGAAGGGTTGCATCGCCGACGTGTCAAGGCGAATGTGATCGCCTACAATGCCGCCCTTGCCTCCTGCAGATCGAGTGGTAGTGGTGGACAGTGGCAGCAGGCAGAAAGCCTTTGGCAGGACATTCGAACGCGTGGCGTCTTAGCGGATGTAATCACTTTCAACGCAGCAATAAGCACCTTCGAGAAAGGAGGTGAGTGGGAGCATTGCTTACGTTGGCTCTGCCTGCTGCAGCCGAGTTGGGAAGGTCGGTCGAATGCAGATGTGATCAGCTACAGCTCATCGATTAGTGCTTGTGCGAAGCACGGCATGTGGCAGCAGGCGCAGCAACTGCTTCGTGATGTTCATGAGCAGCAGATGCAAGGAAACACAATTACCTTCAGTGTTCTAGTTACTGCAGTGGGGGAGGATGGGCAATGGCAGCAGACAGTTCTGCTGCTGCGAGAGCTTGAAGGCCAAGGGTTGGAAGCGACATCGAATATTTTTGCGTCAGCTATCGTGACCTTCGACCAGCACGGAAGGTGGCACGAAGCAATTCGCGGCTTTACGTTGGCAAGTCGTTGCAGCTACAGGGAGTTGGCTTTTGTCAGCGGAAACAAAAGATGACACAACCTTTCAGGTGATCTTTGCGCGATTTGTGGAGTCAAGGCAGCTGCAGTTCAGTCTACAACCGCACGGGCCATGCAATCTCTGCTGTCTGAATCCTGTGATAGCCGTGGCTCATGGCATGTATGGTTCTGTGCAGAAAGCACCCACTGCACATGCCGTAATGCTTTACCTGCGACACCGTTCTCACAAGCATTCGCTTCTTGGGATATGCCTGAGAGCATCTGAGAGCATGTCTGCTTCAGTGCTTCTACTTTCATTTCTGCTGCTCTTGTTCTCACGAGCAGTGCTGCTGCATGCTTCTGCAATTCGCACTGGCATGCTAAGTACGAAGTTTTGCTTGTTGTTGTTTGGAAGCTATAGATGGTGTCCATCTGTCTATGTCTCCGAACGGTGCTTGTGCCTTCAAGCGCTTCGCCAGGCTCTTGGTGCAAACGCGTTTCAGCAGGATGTCAGGATGCCCCTGTCGGCGCATTCTTCCGAAGAGTCGACTGCAGGTTGCGCCGCAAGTCGGCTTTGCGGCACGTTGCTCGAGGGACCCGGGAGCTGTGTAGCTGTGACATGACACAAGCCTTGCTCAGAACTAGAAACTAGTGCCACGGTGCCGGTGAAAGCGCGAAGGTCGGAGTTTCAGTGAGTGAAGGATGACGTTTTCTTCCACCTCGAGGATGGCCGCCTTCAACTCTGCGTGCCTTGGATGCAACTTCAATTTTGATCTTCCTGCTCCCCTCCAGCATGGGCCTGCAGGATATATTGAGATACTTGAAGGTCAACCGCTGCTTCGCCAAGACGGTCAGCATCCTGCGTTTTCACCAGGATGGCGCTGAGGTCTTGGATCAGGAGCTCCGTGGCTGGGCGAACCCCTCCTGCAGATGCCGACGCTCACGGATAGGACGGCTGGGCGGCCAAAGTGCCACCGGCGCTCTTCCCCTCTTTGGCAACGAAGCTGCGGCGCTTGGCGGCAGCAGCCCAGGCGACATACTCGGTACCACAGCGGGGTCATCAAGTTGCGTTGAGTCAGCCTTATCTGCCAAACTTCTCCGAGCACCAGCGCCCGCCTCCGAGCTCTGTGCAGGTGCCTGTCTTTGTGCGTCAGGGCATTCCGGCGACCAAAACGGCGACTGGGTCGCAACGGGGTTTGACGACACTGGAGCCAGCTCAACACATCTGGTTTCTGGAAAGGTCCCGGCGTCTGTGCTGCGCTTTCCGGCCGGCTCGGGCGAGTTCGCTGTTGGGCTGGAGAGGTGCTCGCTCTGGCCTCCAGGAGCATCTATGGCTGAGAACTGCATGAGCATGTGGGTGCAACGTGGGCACGGCTTCAACGATCCTCTGCGAGTTCTGCAGGATCCGCTCTCTTTCTGGGCGAGGCCTTCGCGAAGTTTGCACCGGAGGCGGAACTGAGCACCGGTTGCAGTTTGCAGCTCATATCCTTTCCCGGTTTTCAGGCGTTAGGACTCCTCGCTGCGGCAGCGAGCTGGGCCGTGGGCAGGGCCGCTGTCTCGGTCGCAGTGCTGGAGGTGGCTTTGGCAAACTTTGGCAGCCTTTGGCAGCTGTTGGCCTTGCCGCCCAAGCCAGGGCTGCCTCGAGGGCCACGCGCTGGCCGCCGCCCTTCCGCCGCACGCGGCAAACGCCGCAGCCTCGGCCGTCTCTCCGGCCGTCGTCTTGCCAGGCCAGGTGCTGCCGCAGCAAATGGCGTTTGGGTTACGGGCCGAGCCACGGTCGGAACTTCGTGGTTCAGGTGCCTTTGGAGCCAGGGAGGGCCTCTCGCTTGCGCTGGTACTGGCATCGCTCTTGGCCCGAGGCGAAGTTCCGTGCTCCAGAGCATGCCAATGCAGAATGCATCAGTGCATCCAGCCTCGTTCTTGTTCTGGGAGGCTGTATGGATGTGGCTTTGATCCAGGTTGAGGAGGGCAGCAGCATTCAGGCGCGGTGGCATGGCAGTGAAATTGTGTCTGTTGTCGTCATGCTGCAGTTGACAAGTTCTCCGATGCGAGGACCCTTTCCTACAGAGCTGGGTTGATCGGCTTCCGGAAACAGACCAGGCCGGCTATATTGAATGGTCTGGAGATGGGCAGCGAAGTTTGCTTCAGAATTTGGCCATCACGGTTCTTCGAAGAGTCCCGAAGCATGCGAATCTCTGATTGCTTCGATGCGTTTCTCGGGGCCAGGCACCTCAAGGTCTTCGTGTGTGGGCCTTCCCCCTCGATGCAGCCGAAAGTGCTGCGGGTTGCCTCGAGGAATGATGTTTGAAGCCGCGTCTCGCCTGGCCTTGTTGCCTTGCTGTCTGTCGCGAGGAAGCTCTTGAAGCGTACCGGAGATCGAGACCGTATGTGACTCGGCTGCATAACGGCCTAATTAACGGTGCTTCCTGCGATTGCGTGCAGATCCACGCGCTTGTCGGTGCGGGCGTGATGGAGGCAGACATCCGCGAGGTCACCGTCGGAGTGGGAAGGGCTTCACGAGGGGCTGTTCTGTCCATCCTTTCATGGCTTGTCATGCCGATTCTCTCTTTCCATCGCTGGCCTACCCCTTGACGCTTTGTCGTGGAGGCTCTGGAAACCTCGGTGCATGCCCTCGGGAGCGCACAGGCGATAAGAGACAGAAAGAGTGCGAGTGCTGCCATGGGAAGTTCGTTGCGAAGGTGCTGGAGCTGACGGATGCAAGGAGCCTGGACATACACCTTCCTCTCGTTTGAGTGAACGACGGAACGACGGCGGCCTTCAAGGCCCAGGGTGGTCTGCTTGCAGAGCCCCTGCAGCGCTCGAGGAGGCTTCAGAAAGCTGTTCTTCAAAGGGGAAGCATCCATGTAAGCTTGTAGCGGTGTGTCCTTCGTTGACCTTCGCAGGACGATGTGGCTCCTTCCAATCGGCAGGCGCAGCTGGGTCCCAAGGTCGTCGTGCTTGCTATCATACGGCCACGTGCGTTTGAGTCGGGCATGCAAGGGGGATGCCCTGGTGCGTTGGGGCTTCGAATCTGCAGGGCCGAGCGTTGCTAGATGCAGCATTCGTTGAATGACCCCACCCCCTAAGAATGCTCGAGGGTTCCGCGGTCATTCTGGGCGAAGTGGAGCCGGAAATTGTTCACACCAGAGGACAGCATTGCTGCGGGCCGCCTGTGCTCCTGAGGTCGAGCTGTGGCGGCGCTCGTTGAGGCCGCGAAGTAGGTTGCCATAGGCGTTAGCAGCCCTCGTCTTATGGTCATGCTGTTTACACGTTTGTAGGGTCATCACCACCAAGATTGGAGGAAATGATTGCAAATTCCGAACTGTCCGGTCCACCCTGGTGCCGACAGGCGCGGCTTGAAGACACTTGGGCTCTGACTTCCGTCGTCAGGGAAGCAGGCAGTTTGTTTCTTGCGACTTTTTGGATGAGTTGCTCATCCTTTCCAGACAAAGATCGATAGCTTCGGAGTCTCCTCAAGAAGTTATGATTGCAGAGGGGTTCTGGAGCTCAGTGAGCATCCGGACCAACGAGGTAGAACTATAGTAACAATAGTTTCGACATGACAAGCTGTGATCTGATTTCGGACCCAATGAGTTTGTTTGGAATTGTGTCGTTGATGAATCGAACTGAGCACTCGTGGCGAGTTGCGCCCGCGTGGACAAACAAGACAGGCATTTCAACAAGTGGTTTGGCGGGATTTAACTTTTGGATGTCTTCCAGCCTGTCTAGCAGAGTCTAGCAGTTAAGTCAATTGAACAACATCTAGGTGCGCAGGGTTTAGGCGTACAGAGACGGCACACCACTTCCAACAGGTGACGGCCAGACTCTCGCACTGCTGGACCTGGCGGATCCAGACAGTTTGTGTTTCCTCAAAGCGAGGCAGAAGGCCCCCAGAACACTCAGTACTTCCCATTTCCAGTCACTTCGTGAGCACCAGCATCTCGCAACAGGAGCCGTTCCCGCTGCATGTCCTCGCGCTCCTACCGTCCCTGGACTCAACTCGAGTGGTCGGGGCCAGAGTTCGGACCTGACCTGAGAGCCTCAGGGTGTAACGCTTCCAGTTCTGACTTTTTCTTTTAGGCCTGGCAGCCCGTCGCGGAGCCGCTGGCGCTGCTTCTCGGCCTCGGAGAGGCTCCCGTGGACTGCTGCCAGCGGCTTCCGCGGCTTCTTCTTCTTCTTCTTGCTCTTCTTCTACTTCTTGCTGCTCTGTGCCTCATTGTTCTTCTGCAGCCCATGATGCTTGTCGGTTTGCAAGGGCACCTGCCGCAAAACGCTAGATTCATTTTCCTTCTCGGGGTGCGTCGTTGCGGTTGCGGTTGTGGTTGTTGGGAGGACTTCCTGCTGGAGCTCGGCCTCGTTGCAGCCTTGGGAATCGGAGACGAAACAGGCCGACCTGCTCTATTTGCCCACAAGTTGTCGACGCGTCTTGTGCGTTGGGCAGGGCTGGAAACCACCGACGTGCTTTCTTTCCTGGAGGCATCACGTTATGACACTACTCGGTCCGACGAAATCATCAACGCGCTACTTCAACACTGGGATTCAGTACTCTCGGGAGCTCCAGTCAACACGACATGCTTGCAGCCTTAGGAATGTTAAGGTGGTGTCTGAGATTTTAGGGTATCGAGGCCAAGGGGCACGAGCGAACAAGTCCGGAAAAGGGAAGGTGGCAAGGGCTTAAGCGGCGTGTGCACAAAAAACGCAGCATAAAAGATGAAGTGCAGCATTTTCATCCACCGGAAACCACCCGAAACTCACAAGCTACGACTGTGGCCTGGAGAATTTTGTACTCATGCACGCAAGCGTTGTGCAATCACCTGCTGGCAAAGCTTGCGCAGCCAGTCTTGGCATCAGTGCATGAACTCAAACAGGTTTTCAATTTTCAGGTGTTCAGATTTCACGGCACGAGGTCACACACTCCTTCGCCGAGCATTGAGCATCTAGAGAAAGGATGTGCGCTTTGTGTACATCTGTGCGGCAACGGGAATGTTTTTCGGAGTTTTTGAGCTGGACGGGTTCTTAGAAGGCGCCATGCTTCACAGGCTTTGGCCTCTGCAGACATGTCGGCCGTGGCTTTCCAGCTGCAGCCGAGGCATGGATGGAAGAGTATGGAAGAGTTGCTTCATCCTGGAAGAATCAGGGAACACACACGTCTGCTTTCGTCTCCAACAGTCTCAGGCCGCAAACACACCTGGCACTGCCGGCGTTTGAGGCCTCCAGCCCCCTCCCAGCTATCAGATTTCGCACTTCGGTGATGTGTGCAGCAATGTGCTGGCATGCGCTGGCTGGCAGTTTCGGTAGTGGGAACGTCGGCATCGGTTTTCTCAGTCGGATCTTCTTGCAGCTCGCAGGCCGATTCAACAACCATCCTGTGTGCAGAGAGTGCAGCCCTGGGAGAGAAGGAGGCCAGGAAACAGACAGCGCAGCACGCTGGGATTGAGAAAACCAGCCCGAAAGCAAGCAATCAAATCGGCAAGTCCAAGCAGCCCAAGCAGCAAACTGGCCCGGAAAGCAACTGCGAAACTCCAACACTTCAATCATAGCAATAGACAATAGAAGAAGAGCTGCCTCTTGTCTTGATTCTTGGCTGGCTCGCTGTCGATCCTGTCTCCTAAATAGTCACATAGTGCGTTTCGAGTTTGGGGTCTGTGTGCCGTTCAGGGTGGTGTGGTCGGGGAGTCGGGCATTCCACTCCTGTGGTCGGTGTTCTTTTTGGGTTGCCGGGCGCGAGTCGTTGTCTTTCCAGGAGGTCGCCATCGCTCCTTTCGGTGTCTAGTTTAGACGGACTTGCATCAGGAAGGTCCAGAGTTTGCTTGCAGCCTTTTGGCTTGAGTCGGCAGTCCGTCTTACACAGGCCTTGAGGATACCGTTGAACAACAGATGCAGCAACGAGCCCGCCGCAATCAGGTCCTGGCCTCCTTTACGTTGTGGCCAAGCACAGGAGAGTCGAGGCATCGCTTTCAGGGCGCGTGGCCATTGTTGCATCCGCAGCCGGTCTTCATCAACGTTCTCCAAGCTGCAGAATATCTTGTTGCCGTCTTTTCGCGACTCCACCAGCTGCCAGGTTGCTGGCAAAAGGCGTCCTGCAAGACGACTTACCAGCATCCGTCTCCCGAGCAGGCTTCATCAGCCAGCCGATAAGCCCTTCTCTTCGAGCTTGAATTAGCTCGGTAGACTCGGTAGTCTCTGAAGGACAGAGCAAGTTATATTATGCTATGTATAAAATGTACATATAATATGTATATAATATATATATATATATATATATATATATACACATGTAAACAAACAGATAAATAAGTAGATACTTGTACAATAATTTTTAGATAAATAAGTAGATACTTGTACAATAATTTTTATGCATATATATATATATATCTCCATACGTATGTGTGTGTATATGTACATATATATATATATATATATATATATATATATATGTAACCTTAGACTCTTGTCGGAAGCTTGCTAGGCATGGCTTACCGGCCCTCTGCTAAGTCGAGGGCGCAGCCTCGGGCGCCTCGTCTGAACAGATGCTTGCGCTTGCACAGCTTCTCCAGTGTCGCCAAATCAGTCACGTCCGAGTGTTTTGTTTCACAGAGGTCTGGCATTTGACCGTGCATGTGATGGCAGAGGCCCGCAGCCGCGCGGCCTCGCAGATGCCAATACTTCGCCCCTTCAGGCCCGACTCTGTCGTCGAGCAGCGGGTGACTTTGGCGGACGCGCGAGCGGTGCCTTCGCTTGGCGCTGGGCTCTTGGGGGAAAAGGGGAGGGGCAAACACATCATCTGCGAACGGCGCGACGAGCCAAAGTTTGGCCGATTCCGCAGACAGACATGCATCTGTCGAAGCAGGTGGTGACCCCGGATCCAAAGCAGATCTGTACCCTGGCACACTTGAAGCTTTTCTCATTTTCTTTCAGATCCAGGGTGGAGGCTGGCGAGGCATGGGCGTGGCTGCGCTTGGGGTTTCAACGAAAGCTGCCAGTAGAGGTTGTTGCAGCCGCGCCAGTGACAGAAGCACCAGGATGCACACTGGCTCAGTTTGGGTGTTTGAGGTGGGCCCATGCCGCCCTTCTGCTTGGTGAAGAGGAAAATCCTCGACGTGAACAGGTGCCGCGGGTAATCGGGACTGCAAGTTAGATTCACGGCTGATGTCCCTGCGCTGCCTACCCTGTCTAGGAAGAGTCATCCTGCTACAGCGAGGAATACGAGCAGGACGATGCCCACTGCATGGCTCTCGGCAGAAAACTGGGGTGTACTGAATACTGGGAGCAAAGAAGAATGGCCAGCCAGCAGGAGGATGGCGCCGAGAGTGAGGAGAATGTAAGCACAGACAGCCAAAGTGAAGCTGCCAGTGCGACCTTATCTTCACAATCAAGCCGCCAGAAAAGTACTCACTCACAGGGACGAGTGTGATCGGTAGGGGCAGTTTGTCTTCTTCACGTTCTACAGACTAAGACTCCGAGGCACTGCCAGCCTTTGTAAATCTAACATGTAATGCAATCGAAGCCAAGGGGGTTTTAGTAGTTTTCTGACAGTCGATGCGACACGGACGGAAGGCAGTGCTTTCTGAGAGTTTCTGATCGGTGCTGTTGGGGTTTGCATCTGACGAATTTTTCTGGAATTAACTCGGTGGTAGGGATCACCACAATACTCAGCTGCCGTAATGTAGCCAAGTCGGACCGACCGTGTCGGAGCTAAAATACGTATGGATTCCATCGATGGCAGGAAGACTGCTACCCTGCGGCTTTTACCCCTACACATTGCTTGTGGTTTGTTGGCACGGAAAACTGCTTATTCTACTCCGTTTCTCTCATGCACCTTCGAATCTAAGTCATTGCTCCGGCTGACTGACTGACTACGTCCGATTGACTGGCTGGCTGGTTGGCAGTTGGCATCGTCGTGGAGCTTTGTCTGAACGGGATTTGTGGTTCCGACACGTTCTGCGGCCACAGTGCTCCAAGCCGCTTAGCGCCTCGTGCGCTTTGCCGGCCATGGCTCCCTGGCTCAGGAGTTCCGAGGGGTCGTTGCAAGATCGAGCTTGTGTTGTCGGTAGCTGCACCAAGCGAGACACATCTGCGTGGACTTGCAAGCGCAATACTGCGCCGGGGGTGTAATGATCGTTGAGCGTGGCCGGAAGCAGGGTATCTATAGTCCTCCAATTCTCCAATTGCTCCGATGCTCCTGCCCAGGTGCGCCAATTGGTGGCTGTTGCCCTAGCTTTGCTCGCTGGGCCCTCGTCAAGAATTTGTTGAATTCTGTTAGGGAAGTTCGTTCGCAGACTCTCAGACGGTCACTTCTGTCTCGGCTTTTTCCTGCAGCCTTGCTCGGCACCTCGCAGGCCTTGCCGGCGAGCCTTGCGCTTGAGGATGAGGATGAGGTGCTGTGATGCATACTGTGCTACCTGCTACCTGTTGTCTGTCCAGTCGCTTCATTGCTGACGTGAAGAGATTAGAGGTTCGTCGCAAGAGCTTTTGCTCTGAAGATCCCGAAGTGCAGCTGGCCGACATTGCAGCACAAGCATCAGCACACAACTGCCTCGGCGTTGTTGTGCCATGTGTGCCATGGGCCATGGCCGATGGCAGCCAGCCGAACGGTGGTGACAGGTTTGATCGCGCAAGCAGTTTTCTGGTGCAGTCCTATCCCGTACCGATTCGATCGCTTTGCAGGGTGGGCATGCAGTCTCAGCGAACTAGCCACTACGACTGCAACTGGTACAGGTTGTGAGCGTCATGTAGGGATGCCAGGATTGGCAATCTGTCTCGTGGCTCAAGTTTCTTTGGAGTCTTGGAGTTGACATTGGTTCCTGCCGCTACTCTCGAGGAAGAGCTCCGGCACGGTGCTTTGAAGCCCGACAATCGAAAACTTGGGAAGACAGTTGCGCACATCGCCGGGGTGAAGCGATGGGAAACTTGGCTTGCGATGAGAGCTGCGAGTCTAGAACGGCAGTCTGTGGCAACCGGCACGTCTCTGGATTTGTGTAGTGGACTTGTCTTTAACGTGTCAGGAAACTGTCAGCGCGTTGCTTGGCGACGCCTGGGCAAGAAATGCACAGATCGATGTTGTGACGCTCGGGCTTACGCATTTGAACCTTTCGGGCTACGGGGCTGAAGCTGTCACTATTTCTGCGTGTCTTCAAGGACACTCGGCGCGGCAGCATCTGCATGCAGGGTGGCTGCTGGCTGGCGCTGGGGCTCCGAGACGCAGCTCAAAGTTGGTGCAGGTTTGCAAAGTTGCGACTGCAGGGTAAGAAGGAAGGAGGGAAGGTTGTTCGGCTTCTTGTAGCAACGTAGAGTTCTCGACAGTGAGCATCGGAGTGTCACGATCCGTCGAGGAATTGCTGGCGTCCGGCCGTGGTCGTACTATGCGCAGCAGTGCCGTGCTTCGGGGCACTTCGCTGGGGGTGGTCCGTGCAGGAGGTGGCGGGCTTCCGGAAGTTGGGGGTAAGGTCTCAGGTGATCGAGGGAAGAGCCCAGTAAGGTTCATTTGTGGGTGAGGTGTATGGGCAGCCGCACTCACCTTGCTGGCCGAGTCGCAGGAGCTGCGAACTGGCTTTGCGCTGTTTTGTTTCAGTGAAGAGGGTCGGTCCAACAGCGTAGTGTTCGGCAAGAGGACCACGGATGCCGAGTCAGTGCCGTTCACCTGAGCACGGTGGCAGCCACGGCATCAGAGGGAAACCTCTGGGGTTTGGCCTCAGCAGTCCTACAGGCCGGGATGGCCAGGGTGCTTTACTGGGAGACATGAGTCGCATGCGGGACAGGCAGAGAGCGGCGTGGTGCTGGATCCACCCGCAATCAGCTCACTAGTGGCTTCGCTGAGCAAGGGTAGCCAGTGGCAAGGCGGGCGGGCTTGAGAGGCCAAGGGAAGAGTGGGACTTTCAGTTCACAAAGCTTTGTGTAGCTTATCACAGCATGCTGGAAGCCGCAGATCCAATCGCCAGTGGAAGGATCACTAGTCGTGTTCGTGCGGCAGACGCCGTTCCTGACGGTTCGCTTGGCAAATGCTGCGCTCACCGCCATGGAAGTGGGAGAGCTGCACCTCAACTGAAGACGAATCCAAGTTGTCGCACCGTGTTCACCCGCTTCCCTGAGCCTGAGGTGGCCTTCGTCCATAGCACTTCTGGGGGATTTGCAGCAAGCACGTCTTCGACAGGACATCAGAGGTGCACCCCAACCAGCCTGTTGTTCCCGTTCCCATATGCCTCGGCAAGTGCCGACGTGTATGCCGACAGGTGTGAACAGCGCGGCAAGTGCGGCTGCGAAAGGTGTGGGCTGGCGAGCTTCGGCAGATACGGAAGTTGATCAATTGGTGGGTCGCGGGTGTGAGTGATAGGCGCAGGGGGCTTCACAGGGCATTATGGCGGTCAGTCGGGACATTTGCCAATGTGAACTTGTGGTCACGGAGGGACATCAGGTGGAGGAGAAGTGCACTGCGACTGCTGCCGATGCGAGCGCTGAGTTGCAGCACGTGCTTAGGGAAATTTCAGTACAGTTTCGTCAGAGTCGGGCGAGGGCCCGGAGCTCAGGCATCACGGGCTTGAAACCCCACCAGTGCCCCACTCACCGAATCTCCGTGGACCCCTCCGGGCCGAAGTGACTAAACCCAATCGGAACTGAAACTCGGTTGTGTTCATACATGTAGATGTTTAATGTTAGTCTTTCCAAGGATGGTCGCTGGACTTGCTGGAGAGGCTTCGCGGCTTCGGGTTGAGCTCAGCAGTTGGCAAGGACGTGACGAGAGTCCTTGTATCAGCGAGGTCACGGCATGACGCCGAAGGCCGCGATCTTGTGAGCGTCAACGTGGCACTGGCAGCTCACGCCCGCGGCTTCTGGGGTGGGGACCCGACCTTCCGTGCCTTTCTCTGCCTCCAGCTGCCTTCGGCCATGCTCAGGCGCGTCGTTGTCACTGCTTCGGGCTCTTCCTTCTTTTCGACACGCACCCGATGTGACCTCCTTCGGCACCGTGGCAAACGCATGCAAGAGGGCAGGCGCGGCTGATCGCTGCAAGGGAAGGAGAAATACTGAGACCAGCCCCAGGAAGAGCGCAAACCCTTGCATGTTTCAAGGAGAAGGAGAGTAAGGAGAGAGTGGCCATCGCAGTCTGCCACATCGCCCACGGCGTCCCCGAAGCTTCACCCGGCAGGCATTCGCCTGCTTTCGCCTAGTTACCCAGGTCTCCTTTTTTGGGCAACTTACCGTAGCCATGTGTATATGTGCAAGTCGTGTATGCGACTTTACGCATTTCGTGCGTATGTGCAGGTAATTGCAGGTAGATTGACAGTTGGTCCCCTGACTTCATGTACTTGACCAGTGCTCGTCCCGTGCACTTTCCAAGCCGCCCTCCTGTGCAACCTCGCAGACACTAGATATGGTACGATGCATCAGGTAGACTTTAGAAGCCCGGCGAAGAACGCACAGTGCTAGTGGGTTCGTTAGACGGCACATACATATACCGTTTGTACCGCATACATCAGACACACTGCACACAAACGGCATGCAACGAGTAACCGACATGCATCCATCCATCAATACATAATCCCTCTCCATCCAAAGGCGCCAAAAACCGAGATCATTACAGAACGTGCACAATTATCGGCAACATCGCCCAACATAGCCATACGTTAACAAAAAACATAGACATTCCACAGAACCCCAAAATCCATGATTCCATAGCATATAATATATATATATATATATTATTATTATTATAATATATATATATATATATATATATATATAATAATATACATATATATATATACATATATATCTATATCTATATAATATATATATATATATATATATATATATAGTAGTACTCATATACTCGTACGATTATATATATATATATATATATAGGCAATCACGACTAGACTCGTTCGATTCTGGGGTACACTTCTCGATTTGTGGGTACACTTCTAGATTTGTGCGTACACGATACACTTCTCGATTTGCGGGTACACTTCTCGATTTGTGGGTACACTTCTTGTTTTGTGGGTACACTTCACGATTTGTGCGTTCTCGGGCTTACGGTTTCGTGCTTCTTCGCTTGGGAAGCGTGGTTATCAACTGAGCTTATAATGAGTTAGGGGTCGTATATAATATATGTATCTCGAGCTAGTAGCAGGTTTCGGGCGAGTTATTAATCAGCAGGCTATCTGATCACGTGAAGGCTTTGTTGGGCCTAGGGGTTTAAGGTGTCGCTTCGAGTTTGGAGTGAGGGCCAGCACACTTAAGCTATACCTATAGTCTCCATTGTAGTTCCTTTTTTTAGGTTAACCAAGTTCTATTAATAGGGTGTTAACCATAAAATTATTGGAAACCCAAAAAAGGAACTACAATGGAGACTATAGGTGGCCTCCAGTCTGCAGGGCCTTCGAATCCGTCTGAGCTCAGAAAGCCCACAGCCCCGAACCCGGTTTGTCAAAAGCCCTTCGCCCCTTAGAGGGTCTTGGGAATTCGTGATCAGAAAACAAAAAGAACCCCGGATCCGAAAGCTTCCAAGCTTCTGCAGTTAAGCCTGAGATTCACATGCAGGCAAAGCCCAAAAACCCTCGCACTAAGAACCTTAAGGTTTAAGGTCTTGCATGCTGAAGCAATTCGAAGTTCTGTGCAGGACTTCTTCTCAAGCATTATAGGCCCGAAGCGGAAAGCTCAAGCTCGATAATTATCGAGGTCTCTGCAGAAAGCCCACAACACCGAAAGCCCACAACACCGAATTTAAAAGCCTCAACCCTTAAGGCTTCACACCTCTTCGTAACGAGGTTTCTGCGGTAGGGTGATTGAAGTTTCAGGTTCACGTTCTGGGTCTAAAGCTAGGTCGTCGGAGCTTGAATCTCCCAGCAAAACCCGAACCTTCAAGCAGTAGCCTTCAAGTCCCTCGCTCCACTTCGTTTTGACGGCTTCGGCAAGCTCTGCATGTCGATGCTGCGCCAGGATCTCAAGATGTTGAGCTCAGCTATTATTTCTTACATTTCGGTTTAGCTAGTGTTTCCCGGGCCGCTATATATTCCAATTTTCTATATAAGCTAGCACTAAAAGCCCAACAAATTGAAACCCTGATCACATCACCTTAAGCCTGAGGAGCCACCGGGTGAGACACCTGAACTCTAAGAGTTCCTTCGGCACTGCCTGTACTAATGTCTTCCAGAATCCCACGAAGTCCTCGTCGAGGAAGCAATGGCAGTGCCGATAATTGTAAAGACAGCTCAGCTGATCTTCGGCTATGTGCCGGAATGTGTGGTGTTTAGGGACCACTTTCCATCGCGCTCTGTCGCGCTGCTGCGCGACCAGCGCAATGACCTCGCTGAGTTGCAAGTACGTCGAGCATGCCGAGTGCATCACTTGCGCTTGCTGCGAAGTCAAATAGCGCGGGGAGCGCTCCATCGTATCGATGAACGTGATCATAGTGTTGGTCAGCCCGAAAGCAAGTCGAATCTCTTTGTGAAGCGATTCGTCACTGAACGCCTGATCTTGTAGTTGCCGCAATACGATGTGGAAGAAGGCTGTCATGAGTCGAGAGTTCCAGGCTTTAAGATCAAGCCGTGGGAAGGCTCCGCCTTCCCAGCTGAGCAACCCACCCGTCATCATCGCCTGCGAGTGCCTTCGGCTTAAGGCGGGTACAAAAAAATACTATCAGGGCCGGCCCGGGATTAGGTTGAGAAGTTACATTTAATTGGATCCCAGCTTATACCGGATAGGCATAAACTACGTACAGCCCAAAAAGCAAAAACATCGAGTGGCCCTGAAGTGGTTGAGTCGAGCTTGGTTTCCCAAGCTTAATTATGCAGTTGCAGAGTCATGCGTATACAAACTCATTGCTGATGCATGCAAGCGTCTGAAGGCGATTTGCCGACGCCCAATTCTTGAAGCGGTTGCACAGCGTAACCATCTTAGCCGTCAGATCGCCCTCGCCCATCCAGCCTGATTTCTGTTTGCACGTACTACCCCTCACCTACCCCTCACCTTAACCCTGTCCGAAATCCTAGCACTAATTACAAAACAATCCAATAACATAGTAACATTCGCACCCGGTGGCGGAGTTCATCCAGTAGTGTGAAGATGGAGCCGTTAAGCAGCTGCAATATGCCCAAGTGAATCGTGTGCATTGCACACGTGCGGATAAACTCCGGCCGAAAGCCGTCGACCAGGATCAGAGGATTCGCGGGCCGGCTGCAGGGGTTCATTAATAATCGTACAAAAAAAAATTAAAGCAACCAACCCGTACCTAAACCCGCACTAGCACTAACAGCTTCGTCTGAGCTATATATATACGTACTAGACGACTATATTATAAACTGTTTCGTGATGTTCGTCTAGCCTCATTCCGCTCCTAATGATGTCAGCTTGCTGTCGCCGGGGGAACTCGCGGTCCAGATTGGATTTCCACCTGCAGCTAGTTCGTACCATGTAAGCAGACCATGAATATGTAATATATATTGTAATGCATTACAATATATATTACATATTCATGGTCTGCTTACAAAGCTTTAGGGGTCAAACACTTCAGGTTTTACATTATAAACTTGATGCTACAGGCCAGCCAGGTTTCGAATTGGCACCGCGGGATTGGGCAGTACAAAGATGACAGACCGACACAGACTGCCAGCTAGCTTTCAGCCGCATAAACTCCTTGTGCCATTTCCAGTCCCCTCTCAGCTCCATTACAAAGTGTCGCCCACCTTTAGGGGGCAGTTATAATTAAACATCCAGACTCAGGTCTGAAGCTGCTCTACTGTTTGGCTGATGGCTGCAGGCCTGCGATCTGTGTGCCTGCGACATATCTTCCACGATATGGATTTCCCTGATAGTCGGTAGAGGGATGAATACCAGTAGCCAGTGCATTCAGCGACCATGCTATCACTTCCAGGGCAGGATGAAGGCTTTCGTAACCAAGCGAAATAAATTCTCGCAAATTCATCAGCGGATAGCGTTGTTGATAGCTTCCTTAAGGATAGCCCGGATGATTATATATATATAGATAGCTTATTATGCTAAATAGAAAATTTAAATTAAACTGAACAATAATGCTTGCGTTCAGGCTTCGGTCAACATCTCTGGCCAATATAAAGTTGCAAGTCACCACGATGACTTTGTCGCCAGGTTTATTGTACCGCCCGTCGTCGCCGTGTAGGCCGATAGGCATACAATTGTATCCAGGGTGCACAGCAGCCCACTCTTGGTGGGCTTCCAAATGAGCCCAATACTCATCGATAGCCGGCTGGCCGATTTTGACCTTGCCAGTGTCCTTGGATCTGCTGGATAATGAACAAAAATCACAGACAATTGCAATTGCAGATAGGGCTCATGAAGGAAATGTATCAGCTCATGCGGGTAGATGATTGGAAGATTCATCGTGGTGCGTTCTCGTCGGTTCACAGCGGCCAGTACAGGGATCTCCACATAATGCACGTCCTGATTTGGATCTATATATGCATATTATATTAAACTCAGGGTTCAGGGTTCAGGGTTTCTAGGGCTTAGGGGCACTTAAGCTTAAGGGTTTGAAGGTATTTTAAGAAGCGCTTTCGAAATAACAGCCAAGAAGCCACCGGGAGCTCAAGTCCACGCATTATATCTCTTTCCTTGGAGAGCTGGGTGTTAGGGGTCCAGTTATACTTCAGGTTTCATGTTCATGTGCCCCCGCCCCCCCCCCCCACTTGAAACCAAGATTCCACATTGCCCGGATATTTGCCGGAGCAGCCGGCACGTGCAAACATACGTGTCATATCAGAGCAGTTGTTGCGGGATTCTTTGACCATAGCAGCAGCAGCTTTCTGTAGTTCCGCAGTAGAAGTAGCCTCAGACACAGAGTGCGATATACGTTAGTACCCGACAAACCTCTGAGCAGCAACATCGTAACTCCGGGCACGGATCGAAAAACGCTGAGCAGCTTTCTTACAATCCCGTCGTAGTCCTAGCGATCAAAGCCTATCTGGATCAAAATTCGCCAATGCAGCTAATGGACACCGGAGCCCAAGGAAGCCAA